CTTTTGTTGTAGATCATCTATCCCCAAGTTGTGCATTGACACACACACAATTGATCATCATGAAAACTCTAATTTTATACAGCTGTATAGCTGCTTTTCTGCTCTCCTGTACCTTGGCTGAAGCCAAAGATGGCCACCACCCCGTTCAGGTCCATCTTTCGTTGGGAAGTAAGTTAAATAAAAATTTCTGTTTGGTTTTAGATTTACCTCTATTTTCTTTATCTTTTTTTCAGCCGACGAAACGGAAATGCTCGTCACCTGGGTGGTGAAGAGCGGCTCCGTCCACGACACGCCCACCGTCGAGTACGGCCCAAGTGAGGGCAGTCTTCACCTGAAGGCCACCGCCGAGGCGACTCACTTCAAGGAGGACAAGACGGAGTTTCGCACCTTCCGCGCCCTGATGACCGGCCTGACGGCGGGCGGCTCCACGGTGTACTACCGGGTGGGCAGCTCTGGAACGGCCTGGAGCAAGACCTTCCACTTTAGGACGCTGAGCAGAAGTAGCTCATCAAGCAGTTGGCTGCCCCGCCTGGCCATCTACGGCGACCTCGGCTACACCAACGCCCAGTCGACGCCCTATCTGGTGAAGGAGGTCGCTGCCGGCCACCTTGACGCCCTCTTTCACATCGGCGACTTTGCCTATGATCTGCACAGTGTAAGTTCTTCTTCGGAATCGTTTGAGATTTTTTGTTTTATCAAATGANTGACGCCCTCTTTCACATCGGCGACTTTGCCTATGATCTGCACAGTGTAAGTTCTTCTTCGGAATCGTTTGAGATTTTTTGTTTTATCAAATGATAACTTTTTAAAACCAAAACAAACAGAAAGACGGCGAACGAGGCCACGATTTTATGGAGATGATTGAGCCGATCGCCGCTCAGGTTCCCTATATGACCATTCCGGGCAACCACGAAGAGCACGCCAACTTCAGCCACTATGATGCCCGCTTTTCGATGCTCGGCGACCGCCACCAGCCCGCCCAGCATAAGGAGGGAAAACCACCACTGAACCACCGTCTGAACAACCACTACCACTCGATGACCGTCGGCCCGGTGAAGGTGATCATGATCAACACCGAGTACTACTACTACACCGGCTACGGCTGGGGCCAGATCAGCCGGCAGTACG